TTATTATTACTTTTAGTTGGTAGGAAACTTTGAATTTTGCCAGGGTGGCGGCCAAATCCTACTCTTATCGATTTTAGACCACCAAGGGATCTTTAACGTGTGCAACTTACACATGGGCCCTCCGAGATTTTTCGCCCTTGTTCGAGAAGGGTAAGTGTAGATCTCTCCTACCAGAAGATCGGGGTGTGGCAGAAAGACAGCTGTAAGAAGGAGTCAAGGAGTAGCAGTAGAAAGGCTGCAGAAAGAGTCAGGAGGCCAGAGGTGGCTAGGGGGTGGGGGCAGAAAGAGGAGACGAAAGCAGACGACAGAGTATTGCTAGAGAGCAGGAAAGAGGGTGTAGGGAGACAATTTTAGAGAAGAAAATTTTTCGGTCGCTACCCGGATTCGAACCCGGGACCTTTGAATGAGAGGCCAACACCTTAACCTCTAGGCCACGAGAGCCCCTAGTTTTGCTAATTGATAAACTAATTTGAAATAGTTTTTCAGAACAGCTAAACATTAGTTTTTCGTGGTCTGCAGAAATGAAGTTTTGAAACTAGTATCTGCTTTTTAATCCAACAACAGTGCGCGCGGATTCAATGCAGAGATGTACGTAAGAGGGACTTTCCTTAACTCTTTGCTCTGGCTATAAAAGATGAAAGCTAGATCTTCTCACAATCCAAAATACATGTATTTTGAACTGGAGAAACATGTTTGCCATTTGACGAAAACAACAACAACAACAAACAACAACAACATCAACAAAAAACAATAAAAGAATTATGGAATTTGTTTATGATTTACATTTTTGTGCAATATACTAAAGAAGTTAGCTCCATGTTTACTTGTTCAAAGATTCTTATGCTGTTCGAATCAGCCTTTTGGGGGGCCTGGGCGGAGAGTATGGCTTTGGAAAGCATGCTTATTTATCAAGTCATTTTTTGCCGGTTTTTGAGTTTTAGGTTCTGAAATTAAGAGCACGGTCAGCTGTGCAGGTGGACAAAAGAATAATCCAAGATAATTCTGAAATCAAGTGAGTGTACCAAAAACACAAAATTTTCTTGTATACAGTTGTTCGAAAGAAACAGTTTTTTTTCCTTCTCATATTCTCGATATGGCTCAAAATGACTTAATAAGCATTTATCTTATGAGTTTGACGATACATAACGCTACTCATCCCTGACCAACGACTAAACTAGCTTGACCTGTTACGCATCTCTCTCTCTCTCTCTCTCTCTCTCTCTCTCTCTCTCTCTCTCTCTCTCTCATTCTCGCTCCCCTCTAGTACAATTGAAAGCAAAAGCCGGCCAGCTGTTAAAATGTATTAAGTCCAATATCTTGATTTTAAAAAAAATTAAAGTGCAATTTCTCAATCTGGGGTACATGTACCAATTACAGGCTCTCTAGTAATGTATTGTAGAAATTCACACTTTAAATTATGTTTTTTAAAAAAAGCAAGAAAAAAACAACTAAATGTAGGTGAAATTCTGAAAAAATGAATTAAACAGTTTTGTTTAAAAGATAAGACAAATGAAGAGAAGATCAGATAAAATGAGATGATACTTAGTTGTTAGTGTGGGGGAATTTTTCTATGGCTATATAGGAAGGGTAAAACACTTATTATAGATGTATACTGAATTTAAAATTCATAACTACTTTCATGAAAGAATTCTAATATAAAGAGAAAAATTATAGGAGACAATAATGTAGTATGTCACATTAGATGCATCTCTCAGACCACTTGCAAGAGCTTATCGCAAATTTTGACAGTTGTATTAATATATTATTCGTATGTTGTGTGCATAGATTTTTTTAAAATCTACAGCAATACACACTAATGTTCACTTTAACAGCAGCCTTTCTTTCTTTCTTTGTTGATTCCTGTCGGTATAGTGTACCTGCCGCTGCGTGATGATAGACAGATGGATAGATAGATAGATAGATAGATAGATAGATAGATAGATAGATAGATAGATAGATAGGCCACATTTGGCAGAGAAAAGGTCAGAAAGTACACTGTACTTCAGGCTTGACGAAGGAATAAAGCGCTTAGTCCTACAAGAATCCCGAGTCAACTCTGTCAAAACACGAAGACTGACATTTCCAGCACCGGGTCGCATGGCGCAGATATGGCTCATCTTGTTTACTTTGTTTATGTTTTGGTTGTCTTCGAATAACGTCGTTCGTCATGACGTGGGGGACAGTTGAGTGGCAGTTGGGGTCAAGCCTGGGGGTCAAAGTTAGAGTATATAGCCTGGACGTGCAGCCTGGTCAGATCAGCTCCAGATTGAGACGTCATTCATCATGAGGTCTCTTCTGCTCGCCTTTCTTGTTGGACTGGCTGGTGAGTCGGATGTTTGGTGGCCGTGTGCCGTTGTGTTGTATGTGTTGTTGTTGCGATATTATGTGAGGCATCGTGGTGAAATCAGGTACTCGTTAAAAATAATGAAATCAAAGAAAGCCAATTTGTTTCTATCTTTTTTCTCTTTTTTTTGTTGTTGCTCAAAACCTTTTATCTCCATTTAAGGGGATCCACTGGTCAGATCAGTAAAAATTTTGAAAAAATATCAGTTTTCGGATTTTGGAGTATCTTAATAGATATCAATATCAAGGATCCATCTTTAGAAGCCTAATTCCTTTATCAAACTTATAAATAGCTGGAAAATGCATTTAAGAGAGGTAGCAATGTAGGAAAATCTTCACCAAAAATTATCTCTCTTTGCAGTTTTCTCAGAATTGTTTATCTGACCAGGTTGCAACACTATTTTGAGCAGATCTCAGAAAGTTACTGTCAGAAGTGTTTCACATTTGGACACAATCTTTTATACACATTTCTCTATAACTTTACAGGAGCATTTTTGCTGTTTATGGTACACATTTGGAGTTTCAGGCCTGTTTTATTTTACAAAATCTTAAAACATTGGAGACCTGAATGTAGCGCATAGCAAGGACTGTAATGCTCACAAGTCAGTACAGAACATTCAAATTTGGCTCTGTAAGGTTGTTCTACCTACCAACAGTAATCGCCATGCCAAATATTAGGCTTCTATCTTGATGAGTGTTGATGATTGACAAAATATAAAATTGGTTTTAAAAATGCTGAATCAATCCTTTATTTTTGATGGCTCGAGATTATTATTGCTAAAATCTTGAATTATTTGCTTGGTAACCTTTTTTTGTACTATGTCACCCCCTTTGATGCAGAAAAGCAAGCATTAGACCAAAAACTATAGCATTTGGGTGTTGACCATAGCTACACCCCCTTAAGAACACTTTTCAGAGTCGATGTTTCTGAAAAACGCTGATTAAAGGCACGAACAATATAAATTTTCAGTTTCCAAAGACTATCAAGCCATGGAAGTTACAAATTGTTTACTCCCATTTTCTTGCTAATTTTACTGCTCAAACCATGTGACCCCCACCTCCTTCATCGCTAACCTCTCGATTTCTATTCACGATAGACGGTATTTTTTTCGTCGAAATATAGACAAATTAACAAGCTTTAAGATGATGCCATTAAATCCAAATACCTAAAAATTGACCAGCGCCTGATTCCGCTGCGTTGGGACACATACATTATGCATCTGTCTTAGACAGTGAAAGATCTTGTCAGTATGCTAGTGTTTTAGAGGCTATAAATGGTGGCTTGCACTGTTTGCTTCTCAGGAAGTTGAGATTGTCTCAGAATGCTATCAAGTCT